AGCCGGGTCATGTAAAGCAGGCAGGCTGACAGTGAGAATGTACATAAGAACATGACTGGAAGTTATACCATGAGCACACAAACACTAGAAATGCCGTGGATTCCAAACTCCAGTAATGTCCAGTGGCATATTTGTTTCATATCTTCGGTTGCCGTGGCATTGTTTACATCAGCAAGCCAGGAGATTAACCCAGGTGTCCATGAGAGAAGGAATGGAGAAAGGAAATGTGGTGTCTTTGCAAAACAGGAGATTGTTCATCCATGAGAAGGAGGAAGTCCTGGCATTTGTGACAACATAGATGACTCTGGGGAGTTCACGTGAAGTGTGGTAATGCAGCACAGAAAGACAAAGGAGGGCTTTTGACACCTGTGTGGTCTGTATTTGTGAAAACGTGTAAGTCTGCAGACCGCAAGTGACCTCACTGTCAAAGAATGGAACCTGTGCGTGGTGTACCATCCTTAGCTCTGAGTTGACAATGGTTCCACAGCATTTGTGTGCATTGTCACGTTGCACTCTAAGTGCAAATATGCATCGTTTTTATTGTCAATGTTACATCAGGAAATAGAAATAATTACAAAACTTTCTGACCTTGAGAACTTTTAGCAAAGTGGTGAGAAGGACACCAAATGTCACCATCTCAGCTGGAGCAGCGGCACCATCGCCATCCTTCCCTCCTTCCCAGAACCCGACGCTCTCGGGGGCTTGGTCATCTGGAGCATGTGGGCTGAGCCCTCTCCTGAGCAGGGCCTAGACACCAGCCCCTCCACAAGGTGAGCCTTAACTTTCCCGATGCTCTTCCTGATCTGTTATTTGAACTGGCACTAAACAGAGTGGGCAGCCTATCAGGTTTACTGCATGTATCTCTTGTATACTGTTTAGATCCTGTTAAACAGTTATATCCTCAAGCATTTATCAATTCTTAATGGTGTTTTGTCTAGGTTCTGGAATGTTCAGTCCAGAGTGGTCATTTATGTCCACACATGTTGCAATATGCAGTGCCTGGGGACAGGACAGTAATGGACACAGGTCTGGAATCAGGTTTGGGATGCCTGGGGCCTCTGAAGCCTTCCACCAGCCCTGGGGCCATTTTACAAGGTATTTATTGAGTAGGGTGCAGGGCGTACCTCACAGAGTGAGTCACTAGCACCAACCATGTGGTATAATCCCACGCCAGTGATAATGAGCTCTTTATCTTAAGAGGACAATGTAAGCAGTAATTGAGTCTTCTCTAGCCTAAGCTTCCAGAAAGCCTGGTGTGAAATTAGCTTACACCAGCATAGAAATCTGCATTCCTATCAAGTCAAGACTGAGTGACCTTTTCAGGATAGTCTCAGTGCTCTGAGGGTTCATGTGGGAGGTGGCAATGCATCCTCCCTATCCTTTTGGGTCTCATAGCTTGAGTTTTGGGAGCTCTCATGACATAGCAATGGCATTACATGCCCTTAATATTGAAATTCCACTTCTGTGTGCAATCCTTCAGTAGCAGATACACATTGGAAAGACCCACACAATGCAATCTTCATGTCAGCCGATATGGTGGAAGGATGACACTGATAATGCCTGGAAGCCTGGAACTGTCAAAGTGGCTCAGTGGATGTCTGCCTACCAGTCCAGAACTTAAAGCCCAGAAATGAACAGACAATCACCTAACGTCCAGGAGGCTGTGCAGGGATCTTCAGGAGGATGAGGAAATCTATGGGCTCAGGGAGAACAGGGAGAACCAGGTTGACACCGATCCACCCTGGGGCAAATAAGGAAGTTTTCTCAAGAAGCAGGAGGAGCTTATAGGAGAAAGGAGAGGAAATCAACAGGAAGAATGTGTACCAATGGTGATGGTATTCAGACTGCTAGTGTCTGTGTGGGGACTCCTATTCTGGGTAAACTGTTGTATGGAAATGTGGTGTGGTATGTAACAACTCAGTGTTGAGCTTGAGGAAGGCTTTGCCATCCTGGAGGCCAAAATCTGAGTTCCACAGCTTGGTGTCTTTACTGGGGTGTCTGCGGTCACCATGGCTGTGACACACACAGGCACCAGGATCCCAGGTCAGCACAGCACTGCACCCCTCCTGCTCCACACACACTCAGCAGGTACCTGGAGGGTGCTGTCTCCTGGTGAGGAGAAGGGTTTGTGTACTGTCCAAATGATTCCAAAGGATGAAACCTTTACAGGTGGAAGACGCCTTCCCTAAGCCATGGAGTTCAGACAAAAAACCTTCCTCAAGAAATGAGCCTTGTTCCTTCCTGGTAATGGTGTGGTGAGGGAACAGGGCGTGATTTGTCTTTGTCTCAGAGATGGGAGTATGAGAGGAGAGTGAGGAACAGCACCACAGGGGCCAGGATGCGGGGCAGATGACTCTGGAGGCTTCTCTTCTCAGCACAAGGTTCAGGGTGAGCAGCAGTGCCCGGACAGTGCACAAAACCAGGACTCATGGACACCTGCCCTTCGTCCTGGACAGTGCACAATGCCAGGACTCACATATTCCTGCCCTCAGTCCTGGACAGTGCACTACACCAGGACTCACGGACACCTTCTCTCGGTCCTGGACACTGCACAATTCCAGTACTCACAGACACCTGCCCTCGGTCCTGGACAGCACACAATTCTAGGACTCACGGACACCTGCCCTTGTTCCTGGACAGTGCACTACACC